AAATAAATTAATGAATAATATATAAAATAATAAATAAATATATAATTAATAAATATAAATAAATAAATAAATAAATAAATATATAAATAAATAAATAAATAAATAAATAATTACCTTCCTTCTTATGGGTGCTAATTGGCTGCACACCGTCGCACCATCGGTGCGAGCATGAATATTTTTATTTCTTCTTTTTTTTTTGCATAAAAAAGGAAATAAATTAAATAAAATAATTAAATTTATATTTATATTTATATTTTATTTAATTAATTATAATTAATTATCTCCTTTTTATGTATATTTACCGTGTATACTCTTAGTTTCGTGTATACAGGCCGTGCTGTGTGTATGTATGTACACCCGGATCTTCAGGCCTTCGTTGCAGCAGCAACAGCAGCAGCAGCAGCAACAGCAGCAGCAAAAGCAGCAGCAGCAAGCAGCAGAAAAAGTGCGTTATTTAGTATAATAATTATCTATATTTTATTATTTTTTTCCTGTATATTTCCTTTTTATGTCTTTTTTCTTTCTGTATATTTATATACAATAATACCTCTTATTAACTAATAAATATAATAATATATAAATAGTATATATAAATAATATATAAATAAATATATATAAATATGATTTATATATTTATATAATAATAATAATAATAATAATAATAATAATAATAATATCCTTATTAATATTAATAAGCAGGTACTTATATCTACATAAGGGGAGACGCCGCAGGCCTTCCCTTTTAGGGTTTAGGGTTTAGGGTTTAGGGTGTAATGCAGCAGGGAATAATGCTGCTGTTTAATTATTGATGGTACTTGTTGTGTGTCTCCGTACTTCCTGCTGCTGCTGCTGCTGCTGCTGCTGCTGCTGTCAGCACTTACCTGCTGCTTCCGTTGTTAAGGGACATTTGTCTCCTGCTGCTGCTGCTGCTGCTGCTGCTGTTAGCACTTGCCTTCTGCTTCCGTTGTTAAGAGACATTTGTCTCCTGCTGCTGCTGCTGCTGCTGCTGCAGCGAATGATACACACACAATCTGTTGCTGCTACACTCTTTGCTGCAGCTGCTGCAAAAGACTGCAGCAGCAACTGCAGCAGCAGGAGCAGCAACAGTAGCAGCAGCAGCAGCCAAGTCTACTTTATACATGTTGACGCAACTTCTTGTCATCTAGTATCTGCAGCAGAGATACACTGTTGCTGCTGCTGCAGTTGCTGCTGCCGCTGCTGCTGCTGCTGCTGCTGCTGCTGCTGCATTTGCTGCTTTTGCTGCTGCTGCTGCTGCACGGCGTAAGATCGAGTAATGGAGGCTCAATAATATGCGTGCTGCTGTTAGAGTGACAGCTGCAGCAGCAACTGCAGCTGCAGCAGCAGCAACTGCAGCAGCAACTGCAGCTGCAGCAGCAGCAACTGCAGCAGCAACAGCAGCAGCAGCAGTTGCTGGTACTGCTGCAGCGGACCTAGGGGACTAAACCCTAAACCCTAAAACACAAGAGAGGTTGGCTGTGCTGCTTGCTGCTGCCTCTGCTGCTGCTGCTGCTGCTGCTGCTGCTACAGACAGCGTTGCTGCATGGCCCAGCATGATGATAGTAGTCAAGTCTGTTCCCTAAACCCTAAACCCTAAACCCTAAAACCTACAAGAAGCAAAAGAACAGCAAACATTTATGCATGTGCATGCAGAGGAGAATGCTGTGCTGCTGTGTTTGCTGCTGCTGCTGCTGCTTTTGCTGCTGTGCATGCAAAGGACAATGCTGTGCTGCTCTGTTTGCTGCTGTTGCTGCCCAGCTGCATCCTCATTACCTTTCTCTCTCTCTTTCTTATTTTCTTCTTTTTTTCTCCTTTTTTCTTTCTTTTTTCTTTTTATTTTCTTATTTTATTTATTTATTATTAGTAGTATATAATAAAATTATTCAGCAGCATGCATGCATGCATGCATGCAGCAAAAGGAGGAAATACTTTTAGGGTTTAGGGTTTGGACTAGGGTTTGTTTATTCCTCTTTTCTTTCTTAGCTGCTGCAGCTGCTGCTGCTGCTATTGCTGCAGCAGCAGCAGCTATTGCTGTTGTGCATGCATAGGATACAGGGTACACAATTAGCTACTGTATATGCTAATTGATGGGCAGTAACCAACCAACCAAACCCTAAACCCTAAACCCTAAACCCTAAGCCCTAAACCCTAAGCCCTAAACCCTAAGCCCTAAACCCTAAACCCTAAACCCTAATATATGCTTGTATACGTATTTACTCCCTGGTGTCTACGCCCATTCCCCTATTCAATACCCCTAACTACCTCTATCCTTAGGGGACTGCCCCCTATATAGGGGGGACTGTCCCCTATATAGGGGGACTGTCCCCTATATAGGGGGGACTGTCCCCTATATAGGGGGGGCTGTCCCTATATAGGGGAGAGGCTCCCTATATAGGGGAGAGGCCTCTGTCCCCTCTGGCCACCTTGTAGTACTTTGTGTCTTTTTTTCTTTTTTTTTTTTTTTTTTTTTTTTTCCTTTTTT